CCCGCCAGCCCTCCCCGGCCCCCAGCGGAGTCTCCCTGGCGACCGCTCCACCCTGGCCAGCCCTTGAGGTGGAGAACGAGGCCCCCCGGGTTCCCTGGCAGCCTTGTCTCCTGGGAAGCCCCCGCCCCTCCAGGCTGGGCCTCGAGGCCAGCTGAGGCCACCTGTCACCCCGCACCGCCCCCCACCATCCCACCATGCTCGACTGAGAGCCCCGCAGGAGGCACACCTGCCTAAACCAAGGCCCACCCAAGCCGCGGCGCGGCGGCCAAGTCAGTGAGCTGTGCCCACCCGCCCTCAGCCGGCCCACGCAGACATCAAGACGGGCTACCTGTCCATCATCATGGACCCGGGAGAGGTGCCCCTGGAGGAGCAGTGTGCGTACCTGTCCTACGACGCCAGCCAGTGGGAGTTTCCCCGCGAGCGGCTGCACCTCGGTGAGCCCAGCAGCCAGCCTGCCCAGCCCTGCCTGGCAGGGGGTCGGGCAGGCCGGCGCCGAAAGCCCTCCATGCTCAGAACTTGTGCCAGGAAGCCCTCCTGGCCCCTACCTGGCCGTCTGGGCGTGGGTCCTCGAGCCGCCCCAGGACTCCCGGTTCCTAAGCTCAGGGTCACTTCCTGCTGCTGCGAGCAGGGTGGGCCCGTCCCCGTCCCCGTCCCCGTCCCCGTCCCCGTCCCCGTCCCCGTCCCACCTGCCGAGGATGCACGACTTCCTGCCCGCCTGGTGCCCCCCTCCCCGCCTGGCCCCGGTGCCCTTCCTGCTGGGCAGAGAGCCCCCGAGTTCCTCCCGCTCCGGTCCTGCCTCTCGGCCTCCAGACCAGCGCCCGCCCTGCGGCCCCATCTGCACCCGTGCCCCACAGCCCCTGCAACCGCTCCTGCCCCCGCAGGGAGAGTGCTGGGTCACGGCGCCTTCGGGAAGGTGGTGGAGGCCTCTGCGTTCGGCATCCACAAGGGCAGCAGCTGCGACACGGTCGCCGTGAAAATGCTGAAAGGTGCGGGCGCCGCGGGAAGGGGCGCCGAGCTGGTGATGCGCAGCCGCTCTGGGTGGGACGGAGGCCTGGAGCCGGGGAAACGGCTCGGAGCCGGTGGTGCCCACGGTTCGGCAGGGAGGCCGACGGGATCAGACCCGCTCCTCGGTGGGCCGCGTGACACCCTGGGACCCCACAGCCCCGAGGGCACTGGCCGTGCCCAGGCTCGCCGCGGTGGGGGGGAGGGCAGTGCCCAGGCGGGTGGTGTGAGGCCCCACGTCCCCTCCAGAGGGTGCCACGGCCAGCGAGCACCGCGCCCTGATGTCCGAGCTCAAGATCCTCATCCACATCGGCCACCACCTCAACGTGGTCAACCTCCTGGGGGCATGCACCAAGCCCAGTGGTATGGCCCGGGAAGGGAGGCCCTGGGGCGTGGACGCCAGGGTGGGCAGCCTGGGCGCAGGGGCCGCTGCCGTCCCGGAGCCCGGTCCCACGTGCACGTGTCGCGCCCAGGCCCGCTCATGGTGATCGTGGAGTTCTGCAAATACGGGAACCTCTCCAACTTCCTGCGCGCCAAGCGGGAGGCCTTCAGCCCCCACGCGGTGAGTGGCACCCGCCAGCCCCGCCCCTGCAGGCTGCGGCCAGGGCAGGCGAGGGGGTGGGGGTGCCCCTGCAGACATGACCCGCCTTGCGCACGCGCAGGAGAAGTCGCCGGGACAGCGAAGGCGCTTCCGGGCCATGGTGGAGGCCGCCCGGGCAGACCGCCCGAGGCCAGGCGGCAGCGACAGGGCCCTCCTCACTCGGTTCCTGGTGGGCAAGGGCGGAGCCAGCCGGTCTTCTCAGGACCCGGAAGGTTAGAGCTGGGCTTCCCTTGCAGTGTCCGGCCCGCACCGGGGTGTCTTGGCATCGGGCCCCCTGAGATGGCCGGCCTGGAGACAGAGGAAGCCTCCTGGCCGTGGGAGAGGTGGGAGGAGTGGGGTGGTGGACTGGGCGCTGCCTTGGACGCCACGGGGTTTTCAAAGAGTTGTTGGCGTTTGACTTGGCATCACAGGGTGAATAGGAGTTTGCCTTGCAGGCAGGGCCGGAGAGCAGTCCAGGGCCCAGGAGCAGGAGCCTCAGTGGCTCAGCAGTCCGGACTGCTCTGCGGGGAGCAAGTGGGTGTCCCAGAGGGAGCGGGGGCTGCGGGCAGGGGAGGAGCTGGCATGCTGGTGAGCTCATGCCAGGGCCTGAGGGGCCTGGCCGGGCAGGGTGCAGGGAGGACCAGTGTTCCCTGGGGCTGGGTGGGAGCCGGAAGGGAGCATCCCTGAGCCCCCTCGTTCCTCTGTGCAGCTGAGGACCTGTGGCAGAGCCCGCTGACCATGGAAGACCTGGTCTGCTACAGCTTCCAGGTGGCCCGGGGCATGGAGTTCCTGGCCTCCCGCAAGGTGGGCAGCCCTTCAGTGGGGAGGGGCGCGCACCCGCGGGGGGTGTGAGTCCTGCCCGCCCCCCGCCATGGCCTGGGGTCCGTGAGCGCCTCTCTCGCTTTGCTGGGAAGACCGAGCCCAGAGCGTGGAACTGACTTTCCAAGGCCACCGGGCTGGGCTGAGGCAGGGCTGCCCAGGCCACAGCTGGCCCTCCTGTCCCTGTGATTCCACACGCCGTCTCCACGAGGCAGCCTGAGCCGGCGTGGAAGTCCCTCCCTGCCAGAGTGGGACTCAGGCAGGCGCCCCCGGGTCCCCACCGCCTCGTGTCACCAGCTGGCGCTGACAGCCCCACCCCTCCTGGCGGCCCCAGTGCATCCACAGAGACTTGGCCGCTCGCAACATCTTGCTGTCAGAGAGCGACGTGGTGAAGATCTGCGACTTTGGCCTTGCCCGGGACATCTACAAAGACCCCGACTACGTCCGCAAGGGCAGCGTGAGTGCAGGCCGCCGAGGGGCGGGAGACCAGGGCCAAGCAAGGGAGGGGATGGGACCGCCGGCCTCCCACGCGGGCCTGGGGGCTGCTGTCTCAGGTGACCTGGGGGCTCTCCGCCCCCTGCGCCCCACCCAGGCCTGAGGGCCTGAGCCTTCAGGAGACCTGGGGACCTGCCCCCTGAGGCAGCCTGGGGCAGGGCATGGAGACAGGCGTGGGCAAGCTGGGCCCATCGTGCTCCGTCTGGGTTGTGCTTTGCCCAGGGTCTCGGTCTCGGGGTGGGCCTGGGTGGCAGGGGCATGGCATGGGGTCTGCCCTGGAGACAGGCCGGCCTGGCCCAGGGCACCAGGGCGGCACGTGGTGCTCAGGAGGCAGCGCGTCTCCCTGGTGGAGTCCAGGCAGCCAGGGTTAGGGCCTGCCCAGGAGGGGGGGGGGAAGCACGGGAAGGGGCAGGGGCGTGGGTGTACAGGCCGTCCCACCCAGTGCGGCCGCCGGGTGGAGGCGAGGGCAGGTGTGCGTGTGCAGAAGCCCTGCCACTGTGAGCTGGGACGGGAGGCCAGTGGGGGTGCTGGGGTGGAGACGGGGGCCGTGGGAAGGGCCTTGGCCCTCAGGGCTGCCAGAGAGAAGCCATGAGGGTGCCAGAGACAGGATGGGGAGGTCGAGTCAGGAACCACAGGAGGAGGAGTTGGGAGTGCGGCCCGGCTTTAGTGTGGGGACAGTGAGTGGTGGTGGTTTTGGGGACGTGGCGTGGGTTGCAGGGAGGCCAGGCCGGGGATCTGGGGCCGGAGGAGGGCTTCCAGCTCCCTCCACCTGCCAGGGAGCGCCCTGGGGAGCGGGCCGTCCCCGTGTCTGGCCCCGCCGCCTGTCCCAGCCGCCTGTCCCCTGTCCCCCAGGCCCGGCTGCCCTTGAAGTGGATGGCCCCCGAGAGCATCTTCGACAAGGTGTACACCACGCAGAGCGACGTGTGGTCCTTCGGGGTGCTGCTGTGGGAGATCTTCTCTCTGGGTGAGGGCAGCGGGAGAGGCGGGGGAGGCGGGACCCCCGCGGGCCAGGCTGCACCACCGCCCTCTGGAGCAGCCGCGGGTCCCAGGAGAGGGACCCAGGCCGTTCGGAGGCAGGCGGCCCCTGCCGCTCCCGGCTGGACCTCCTAGGGGACTTGGCGTCGAGGCCGGCCCCCTGGGTGCCACCTCTGGGGGCGTGCGCAAGCCTGCCCCCGGGGGCCGGTTCAGGGGCCAGCCCTGCAGGTCCCAAGGGAGCTCCGTGGCCAGAGTGGACACATCCGCGTACCAGAGTGCCCCTGGGAACGGGGCCCCACTGTGGACAGATGGCGGCCCCATGGTGGGGAGGCGGGGAGGCGGGGAGGCCTGGAGGAAGTTAGCGGTAGGAAAGAAGCCACCACCAAGCAACGCGAACTAAAGCCTCAGGAAGCACGTGGCG